GAATACTTAAAGTACTTGTATAAAAAAAATTAAAATTTTTGTCATTATTTCTTAATTATGTTTACTTTTGATGCAAGTTTTAAACTGCCGCTAAGCTTTATTGTATTATTTTTAAATTTAGAATAGCCTAAATTTTTAGGCTATTCTAGGGTAAATTCTTAGGATAATTACCTTTAATAATTTTTTTTCATCGGATCAAGTACTTTTTCTCATTATAAATATGAAAAGTATAAAAATAGGTATATTGTACATTCTTAAAAACCGTATCGCGAATCTTTTAACATATATGCGTTAGAAGAAGTTATGAAGCAAGCCCGCTTTACGTCCGAGTTTCTCGACTCGGGTAATGATATTTTCGACGCCGTTGCGCGCGAAAGGATCTAACTCTGTTCCTTTGGGTTGCAGTAGAGGGAATAAGACACGCGAGGAAAACCGAGAAAAGTGGAGAAAGCAGTCGAGTAGCCTTGGAGGGAACGTCGCAAGAAGGCGCGTCACTAAAACTTTATAAGCAACCTGGTTGGGCGGGAATCTAGACAGACAGCGAGGATCGGTGAAGAGAGGCGATACAACGGATTTTATGTACAGACAAAAGACGGAAAAATGAAAAAGGGAACAGTTATTCTAATAAGAACAACGCCAAGAAGGAAGGCTTGAACGGAAGAACAGTCACCCCCGAGGCGATTCGGTTGGGCTTGGTAAAATTAAAAGAAATTTTTTCGCCGTACAACGATGATGGCTATTACGTACTATTGTTGAAAAACTATAGAGCGGTTTCTATTACAAGAAAAGCTTAACGAATAACTATAAATTATTGATCGTCGGCTTTTAAATCGACCATTTATTTGCCGCTCGACACGCTGATATCGCGCTCCTGGCGCCCGGAACTTCCCTTACGGAAGTTGCATAATCTTTAGCCCTGCTATAACCGGTGTCACTCGGCTCGAAGGCTGCCACAACGGGACCTATTCTACTTGACGTCCGACGTTGATTGCCGTCATGATTGTCACTCATTAGAGCTACGTCTCTACCTGCTTTGAGCGATGACATACTGGTCACCCTTTCATTTATATTAAAAAAATTTAGATTGCTCCTTTTTTTAAATACGATATCTAACCGATATTATACACATTATGAAATGTAAAACAATGAAGGGATTCCAATAAAAATATATTTCGATCAATTATTCTTATTATCTTTAAAAGATTTTTTTCATTTATTTAAAAATGACCTTTTCTTTAATTAAAACACACACACACACAGCGATAGTTTTATATTATATAGAAGAGTTTTTCGAAAACAAAATTATATTGTTTCTTTAATTTTAAATTAACTTTAATTTTTAGACTTTAAACTATTCTCTAAGTATTAATTCGGAAATTAGTTGCAAAGATAGTTAGAAACATTTCAAACATTTCAAAATTGCGCAGAAGATGCGAAGCCTCTATGAAGGAAAACAAACACAGTTTGTGAGGAATACCCTGTAATTCTCAGGTATACGCCGATAATCATCGAATTAAACAGCGTATACTTAATAAGAAACAAATGTGTATTTAATGATAGCACAATTTTTTTATAGTCAATTAATGCGCGGTGATTCGGGACAATTTATCGTTCGCAAACAAGTCGTACGGATGCGAGCGCCGCGTGATAAATCCAACGTGATTAAGTTACCAACGACGAGATTTATGTGGAGAAACATAGCGTACAATGTGCGGATGGACGGACGGCACATAAATGCCGTAAATTTATCGAGGTAAATGTAAACATTATGAATCTGCTGTCGCGGCATTTCCTCGCATTTCCTTTTTTATGAATACTCTAATTTTTATGGTGTTACAATGTATTTTAATAAAGCTGATTTTTTTTTTTCTTGAGAATATATACATATTAAAAGAACAGCGAGAGCAAATGCGTTTTTTCAGTATTTGAAGAGACCTGAATGTAGCTTAATGTACGTAACATAATAGACTTTGCATATATTTTAACAACGAAATGAATTTCTCTCGAAAGGGAAGCGTTGTCTTGATTTAAATTTGCTGAAAAGCTCCCAGATTATTAAGTTTAGAAAAACAGTGTTACTTTTCATATACAATAACATTGAATTACTATGCGTCCATTATCAGAACGCTCTTAATTATATCACTTAATTTTCTTACTCTGCATAAAATGTTCCTTTATTTGGATTCTAACAACAGTTTGCACAGTTGCTCTTGGATTTATTCTCTCGTCGAGAAGTTGTAGTTGTCATTGTTCGCGTTGCGCGCATGTTTCCGTTATTATAATTAAAATATTTCAATTTCGCAGCTTGACACTTTAAAACTTTTCAATTTCATTTCAAGTTGTCACGACTCGGCGTAGTATACTCAGGAATTATTCGTGAGAAATGATCCGCACGCAATGTTCCACAATTAATACGTATTCGTCGCAGAGAGAAATAGAACTTAACATTTTAATTTTAATGATATCTTCGTGAATTGAATTTGTATAATTTTACACAGAGAAAACATGAATAAAATATCTATTAATCACTAATCGCTAATTAATAAAATAGGCAAATTTAAAATTAAAACTTTTCAGATAGATAAAAACTTGATTTTATTTGCGACAATAAACAACTAAATGTTTTCACAGACATTGCCAAGCGAAATCATTTACAAATAAACATTTTTTTTGTGTCTTGGATCTAATGAGTAAAAAGGAGAATGTTATTCATCATTAAAGTCTTGTTACTTTAAATGAACAAGTATATTCATCATATGCAAAAATTTGAACGTTTTGATGCCATTTCTTTTGTTCTGATTAGAACAAAAATAGTAATTAAGATTATAACTTTTTGTTTTGTTTTTTATGTTTTTTTCAACGATGTAAATTCATGACAATCGGTTTGAGCAACAAGATTGCCCCGAATTAATGAAATTCCAGGCAATAGGTGTAAGAGAGACAAAGTTGAAACGAAAGCGAGAAGAGAAAAGAGCCTCAACCAAACTGCAGCAGGTTCTCCAATATTTCATTAAAATTATTTGGAAAACCTGCAATAAAAAAGTCGATCGCGGCAGCTCGGTGCGGAGCCGCTTTTATCGATAAATTGACGTAGTGCGCTCGTTCTACTTCCTTCTTGCTTGCTCTTTTTTTTTCTCCTTGTGTTCTCTCTCCAATTCGTGATAGTTTCAGCTTGTTCCTGACATATAACTATGCCACTTGCGATATATATGTATATATATCTAAAAAAAATGCACGATTTGATAACCTTTTTTAATAACCGTATTTTAAAAAAAAATGAGAAATGTAGAAATAATCATTAATCCCTCGTTTTATTATCTATTACAGAATGAAAATTGAATTTTATTTTATAAGATTTATATTACAAAAAGGCAAATACTTTTCAAGTAATTTAGAAGAAACAATTTAGATTACGCGAGAGACGACAGAGACGAAAATTATATTGTTCAAATACCTCGTCTATGTGATCTAGTGATCTAATGATAATTCTCAAAATCTCTCGAGAAATTGGCCTATTTAAAAACTGAATATTCACTATATCGGACTCGTAAGAAAAACCCATGAAAAATTTAGATCCCCTTTATTAAATAGAGACTGGGAACAGAAAGGGTTTAATGTTACGACTTCCTTTCTCTTAATTCCATTCGCGGGAATAGGAAAAGTAGCTCGGTCGGAGGAGTCGGTCGCGTCGCGGCATTAATCAGAACGGTTGCGAAATGGGAGGAAAAAGGGGGGAGAAGGGGAATGAGCCCGTGGCTCCCGAGATATCCTGCGGGAGAATTAAAAAGCGGGAAAAAGTTTGCTGGACCCCCCCCTCGCACGCGCGCGAGATTAGTTTGAATTCTGTGCGAGATTCTTCCATCGTAATCGCTTTCTACAAATCTTTTCTATTCAAAAAATGCAAATTCGCACGTGTTCTTCTTCCCGAAGTAGCTTTTCTCTTTCATCACCGTCCCTCCTCCGATCACCGGAACTGACCCCCTCGAAGTCCTTTAGGGCGTTTGCCACTGAGCTTACTCGTTTTGCATTAAAGTTAATAAAGTGGCTGCTTAAGCGTGCTCAACTTCTTTATTTCGTTCGAGCAATTCGTCTTCGAGTGGACAAGGTAGGACGATGACGACGATGGTTGTACCGCCGTTTGATGTAATTACCGCGGGATTGTGGGAATAAAAGTGAGAGGAAAGGGACGACCTTTTACGCGGCCATTTCATTTTCCAAGGAGATGCCTCTTTTGTTACATCACGAGCGACGTAGATATATTCGAGCTGTCTCGGTGATTTTCCCAAAGGTATCCCCTCGCTCCGCAATATTTTTCCGCGAATTCGCTATCGGATCGCGCGTGTTATATCTGGTGTGTAATATAAATATATCTTTATGAGATAACAAACTACTCGGCGTATTACTTGCGCAAGCCTGGCGATAATTTGCGACGATACATATCTAAATTCGCGTGGAAATTACACACTTCTGAAATTACGTAATTCACACATAAAATATTTTTTGAACAACAACAAAGTATGATGATGGTGGAATAATTATCTTTATTAAAATATCTATTTGCATTTTAAAATCTTTTATTGCGTTACAATCTTTATATCACCATTAGTAAATATTCTTTAATTACATTTGTTCAACATTGAAATATATGATATTTATCTTAACTTGATTTATGTTACGAGTAATTGAGAAAAAAATGCAGTGTAGCAATTTATATGGTATATATATATATATAATCCAGTTACGGTGGAAAAGTTGGGTAAATTGAATTTATCTTCTTGAAAAAATACAAAGCTTTTATTATTATGTTTCAAATCAAAGTGAGGCCTGGTATACGTATATTTTAAAAATTTCTTAATAAAATTGCAAAATTTGACTTTTTATTCACGGCATCGTTTGAGAGAATGAAAAAAATGAATTTATCCTTTTGATGTAAGTTAATTTTACGCCCTTTTCAAGATAACTCATTCGTATGAATAAATCATTGAAATGTTTTCACATACCAATAGACGTACGACTCCCTGTTCAGCGCAATTCGACGCTCCGATCGATCGGTCTTCGACTCCTTCGTCTGAAAAATGAACGATGACAAATCAGTATTTGCGTCGCATTCCGCGCTGTCGCGTGACATGCAGATTTGTCAGGAAGATTTGTCGAAAGAATCAAACATCAGAGAACGCAACGCGATTTCTTGTTGTCGTTCTGCGAATTTTCTCTTTATTCGTTTTCCGCCAATTTGGGCACGGATCTTTATGGGCAACGTGTTGATTTTTTGCGACAGATCCTCTAGTGGTCTTATTCTTCTCTCTCGCTTATTTGCTCGCACGAGAGTGCTAAATGAGTCGCTCACACGAAAGTGGAAGTATTGAATTGCAACTAACACAAGTCGCGGAAGTTTCGTAAAGGCAAGCCGCTCGAGAAGATCAGGGCGACGCACAACGGTGCTTACTTATTGAAAACTCTCCGCGGATAGGAGGGAAAGTCTTGTATCTCTCCGCAGGTATGAATAATTATTCCGCGATACACGATCCACCGCAACATAACATAAATAGTAAATGCCCGGGAACTCTTCAGGGATGTGCGCCAGGTAAGGAGTATGCAAACGGGAAACGGGATAGCTCGTTTAATCCTTGCATCATTACGCAACGTAAAGGCGTATATTACGGAGCTCATCCATCCTCTTCAAATTCCGATCGGAAAGCTTTCATTATAATCTCGCAGTCGTCAAAATACGTTTCGGATATGCTCGGATGAAATCTTATCGTGCGTTCGAAAAAATATTTCGCTGGTTCAGTTAGAATCCTAAATGTCACAGTTAAAGTGTATCAGTAATTTTTGGATCTAGGAAAGTTGTTTGTAGTAAGATGAATTTTAGCAGCAACATCTATAGAGTATATTCGCAAGAAAATTTTTATAACCAAATCACAAAATTACTTTTGTAAGAGGTCTGAATAGCTATTATTTAATTTGGCGCCACAGAAAATCTTTCTTACTAGATTTGACAAATTGTTCAGATATAAATTCTCTTACTGTTATCTATATCGATTAGATACAAAACATATGTGAGATACAAAACATATGTTAGATACAAAACATATGATATCGCAGTACTTATTAGTCATTTATCCGCTTTAGCTTATCGTACCTAGATAATTTTTATTAATCAATTGCAAGATCATTTTTCTCAGTGTAAAATCTTGCAAAAAATTCATCATTCTAAAGTTGAATCCTTGTGTATTCCGTTTGAGCAAAAATAGAAGGATTGTATTAAAATATTCTCATGATTTTCGATTGACATTTCATAGAAGATTAAAAGATGTATCACAAAACTGTTATGATATTTTTCTCGCAAGCAAAATTCATAACTAAACTTCTTCTGATGGATATATCAGATATTGAACTTTTGTTTTGGCTACATAATTTATGACTTATGACTTTTCGCGATTTATCTTAGTTTCTCAGTTTTCTGGAAACACTGAAGGTGAGTGTATTATTGTTATTAAATAATAAAATATTTACTTCACTTACGAAATAGTATTTTCTGAGAAAATATTAATGTTTGACCTATCATTGAACTATCAAAAGTTGTCTGGATATTTTTAAAATTTAAGATAAAAAAGTTTTTATCAAATATATATATATACATAATATATCTTTAAATATTGGAATAAGTATTAATAAATATTGGAGAACACATATTTGACTCTTGCAATATATCTCTAGAAAAAAATTACGGAATCATTAAATATAAAAATTAAAAAATTTTGAGCGAAATGTTCTCCATGTATATAGTTATATCCATTGATAATTTTACATAAAAACTATTCTTCAAGAAAAAATAATAATAATTTTTAATTTAATTAATTTTAAAAAAATTAATTAGAAATATCTTAATATCTTACCATGGCAAATCGTTATGTACTATCGTTGTGCATTAAATTCGGCTCCAAAGCCGAAGCAAATAAACCGAAGCAAAATAAATAGAAATATGCTTCCAATTAAAAAAAGATTTAAAAACTATCACATAATGCTACAGTGTGAAGGATATCCAATAATTCCGGGGACACCCTATATATTTCACAAACATTCTTCGGTGGTGTTCTATCAGATCGTACCGTCGAGGCCATCTTATCGTTGGTGTGTGTGCGCGCGGCGTATCTTTCTCTTAGATAAATTCCCCGGCACGTTTGTCGAGAAACCGTCCCTGAGGTAGAGTAATTCATCGTCTCTCTCGCAAGTAGGTACGTCCGACTCGGAAGCAGAAAAGCTTTAAAATTCGATCGAGCTAACCGCAATTTCCAACGAGAGCATATCTTCCAGAGGTGGGATAGGACGCGTGGGCATGGTCGGCGCAGGTGGGATGGACAAATGCATTCAACATTTTCGGGGAAAAAAAAAAGGAAAGCGATCGTTAGTAAAAATGAATCACTGTCAGTGATGTAATTTTTTATCTCGGTCTATGTTCCAGTTCCGCTTTGTGATAGGAAGGAAAAGCAAAAGGCAAAGGTACGACGAGGTAAATCGTGGCTTGTTAACCCGCATAGTTCGCGTTGTCTCCAGAGAGAAACGATCCGGCTGTAGAAGATGCCAGATGCGGAATGACGTCTAAAATGTTAGTTTTTCAATATTGCAGCGAAATATCAGAATTTAAGGTTGAAATTGCCAACGAACTGAAGGAAAAATAGCACGATGAAGAATTGATACGTTTCGAAATAGGAGAAAACTACGAAAACAAGTCGAAAGCAGATGTTAGTGAAATTGGTACCAGATGGTACAATGATTAGAAACTGAAAGAAACACTGCTCCTAGAAAAGGAAGTCAATGTGGAAGCGTAGGCGATTTCCTCGTAGCCATTTTAAAGATTCCAATACGATAAAGAAAACAAATAGCAGTCAAAAGAAACATTTCGCGACGCATACTACGTCACGTTTATATATTTTATATATATATATATATATATATAATAAATACACTATTTACC